GATGTACCCTCTAAGAACATAAGCCTATCTAGCCTATAACTTCTACATATAACCATAGGTATAAGTTAACACACCCCCTAGGCTAGAGAAGGGGCAGTGTAGAGCAAGGAACACATAGCTCAGGGTGGCACTACTAGTCCAAACTTTGAGCCAGGGATCCGAAGACCAGCCAGCAAGAGTACAAACACGACAAGAGCAAACCAGGGCGTCACTACTAGTCCAGCCACTGGAAGAGAAGCCACAAGGACAGTGTGAAAGGTATATATAAAGAGGAGTACACAATTAAGGTCCTAGCAAGTGAGAGTCTACCCGCTTTTTATCGTTTTAAACGACGGAATCTTACGATGTCGTTTAAAACGACAAAATTTTGAAAAAAACGCCGCTTTTTTGCGCCTTGGCAAGCGCACACAACAGCCCATCCCACAGCACTTGAGAGTGTCGCTGCCCAGCATGGCAGCGAGGAAGAGACCATTGGGCTTCAGGGCCATCCTGGTGGGGGCAGCGGGGCGTAGCAATGGAGAGGCACAGGAGGGGCACACCGACGGGGCGAGAACGGGGCAGGTAGGGCGCGAGCGAGCCGGCGGGGCGCTAACGGGCCGATGGGGCGAGCGGGGCCAGAGGGGCGCAAGGGGCCTACGGGGCGCTAGCGAGGCCGGTAGAGCGCTTACGGGCCGGCGGGGCGCTAACGGGCTGGCGGGGCGCGAACGGGCCGGCGGGGTGCTAAACGGGCCGACGGGGCGCGAACGGGGCCGGCGGGCGCTAACGAGCCGGAGGGGGGCCGACGAGGCGCTAACAGGGCGCTAAGGGGCCAGAGGGGGGGCGCACGGGGCCTACGGGGCGCTAAGGGGCAGCTAGGAGCGGGCGGCTAGGCCTAGGACGAGAGCGGAAGCGCGGGTGTGCGGGGAGGACCTAACCTAGCAGGTGAGACCATCTCAGAGTAAACAGTTAGAACTAGAATGAGGCATATAGGTTTATTTTGTTCAAGTGTTGTACCCTCTAAGAGCATGCACCTATCTAGCCTATTATAACATATACAAATATGTTTGACAGCCTATGTTTATACTGATTCCTCAAGGTGTTTCCCGAGTTTATACTGTGGCCTCATGGTAAATAAAAAAACGCTGGAAATGTTGCACACTGTCCCATTGCACAGCAGAAGGACACTTATAGGATGTCGGCAGTTCACGTTTTGCGCTAGCTTCGCTGCTACACCTGTTCCACGATATGGTCCTCAGGCGAACAGTCCAAGTTGCAGTTCCCAACAGATCTTGTCACCCCTAGAGTCCCAATTGCAATTCTCGCCTGCTTGTGTCCCCCTAAGTTCAGTCCCAAACACCAGGTATCGAGCTGAACCGCATTAACCCCCAAATTCAGGCTGAAACGTTCGACATTTTGCCCTGAAGTTATTGTGCATTTTCCGGGCTAATGTCCCGTTTGCTCGTGTTTTGAATTTTTTGGGGAACAGGCTCGAACCGCGCGAAACCCGTCTCCCTTAGCGTGGAACAGGTGTATTGGTCAAGCTTGTAAAGATTTGGCGAAACCCAGCGCACGCAACAAATCAGACTGGGAAAATTTCCAACAGTCTGAACTTTCAGGGCTATTCTTACGTGACGCGATGACACGCTACCTCAAGCTTCTTTGCCCGTCAAATTTGACCGTCAATACAGTTTTGATACCGATTAGCATGACTTGTGTCACGAGGGAAACGTCCTCAGTTGGAAAAATGCCACGTTTGAAATTTTAGACGAAAGTCGAAGGCATGTGGGCCAACGTGAAACATTTGCTGTCGAGCTGTTCTAATGGCCCCTTTGAGTTTGGATCTTGGACGGCTTGAGGGAATTTTGGGCATCGTGAATTTCATGGCCAAGATCTGTTAAAGTGAAGTGACAGGAATTTGGACCGTTCGATTGTCGACGAGAGTCAATCGTAAACAGAGACTTGGGGGGGTTTGGATACAGAGCGTGCAGAAGGCTACGCAAAAAACAAACGGTAGGAATGTCTAGCTCGCCGAGATTTGAGGGTTGCGCGGGGTTCGTGGAGGATTGTCTCTAACATTGAGGACTTGACCGAAAATTTAGAGTAGCGGGGAGGTGGGGGGGGGGGTCAAACATATTATGTATGTATCTTATAGGCTAGATAGGTGCGTACTCTTAGAGGTACAACCCCTTAGACAAAATCAACTTGTTTGCATCATTCTAGTCATTCTTTCTCATGTTTATATGGTATCACGCTAGGTTAGGTCCCCCCCCGCCCACCCGCGCTTCCGCCTTAGGCCTAGTCCTAGCCGCCCAGCCACGCTGGCTCCTTAGCGCCCCGCTGGCCCCGTACGCCCCGCTGGCCCCTTAGAGCCCCGCTGGCTCCTTTGTGCCCCGCTGGCCCCGTCAGCGCCCCGCTGGGCCCCGTCGAGCCCCGCTAGCCCCGTTCACCCCGCTGGCCCCGTGTACGCCCGCTGCCCCAGTCGAGCCCCGCCGGCTCCTTAGCGCCCCTGGCCCCATTAGCGCCCAGCTGGCCCCTTGCGCCCCGCTGGCCCTGTACGCTACGTTGGCCCCTTAACGCCCCGCTAGCCCCGTTCGCGCCCCGCTAGCCCCGTTAGCGCCCCGCTGGCCCCTGTCGAGCCCCGCTAGCCCCGTGCGCCTTGCCGGCCCCATCCGCCCCGCTGGCCCCGTTCGCCCCGCTGGCCCCGTGCGTGCCCCGCTAGCCCCGTTGCAACCCACTAGCCCCGTGCGCCCCGCTGGCCCTGTACGCGCCACCGGCCCCGTGCGCCCCGCTGGCCCCGTTCGCGCCCCGCTAGCCCCGTCACGCCCCGCTAGCCCCGTGCGCCTCGCTGGCCCTGTGCGCCCCGCTGACCCCGTTTGCCCCCCTGCCCTTGTTAGCGCCCCGCTAGCCCTGTGCGCTCTGCCGGCCCCCAGCTAGCCGGGCCCTCCCTCGCTGGCCCCCTGCTCCGCCGGCCACAGCCCGCACCGGCCCCGCGCCAGCCAGCCGCCACGCTGCAGTGCCGCCGAGCTACCGTGTAGCTGTGCCGCCGTGTAGCTGCCCCGCCGCGTCGCTCTTGTGCCCCCGACCTACCGGCCTTGGCTCCCTTCTGCGCCTGCACGCCTGCCGGCCGTCTCCACCGCTCCACCGCTCTCCACTGCACTCCACCGCACTGCACTGCACTCCATCACACTCCACTGCTCTCCACTGCTCTCCACTGCTTTCCTCTGCCTTTCCTCCTCTCCCTGTCAGTGGCAATCAGCTGCTGCAGCTGTGGTGATGGCGGACTCACAGCTCCGCCTTGACGCGGAGGGTCGGGCGATAGACTTCGAGGCGTGGCTCGTCGACCTCCGCCGTCACCTTACAAGTCAGCGCCAGGACGGTCACTCCCTGGCTGTTCATGTCGATGGCCTGCTTCCCCGCCCTGCTGCGCCTGTTGCCCTCCCTACTACCCCGACCACCGCTGAGCGTGAGGCGTTTTCTGCTGTTGCGCTTGCTTGTGCTGTCTGGGACTCGCGCCACGCCGTCTCACAGCTTGCTATTAGTCACGCGCTTCCTCTGTCTGAGCGTCCCCGCTTTACCAATGTTGCGACCGCCCAGGCCTTCTTAGATGCAGTCATTGCGCGCTATTCCACCCCCGCCTCCGCCTCTGCTATCCGCCTAATCATTCCCATGCTGTTCCATGATCTTGTGTCCTTTCCCACTGTCGCCGACCTTTCCACTCACCTCCGCGCGCTTGAGACTAGCTACCGCACTGCTAGAACCGAGACTCAGCTCACAGCCTTTCCGCCGCTGCTCTGCGCTACCCTTTATCTCATTGCCACTTGCCTCCCTAACTGCCTAGCCACAGCCCGCGACAACTTCCTTAGTCATCACCCGGGTGACCTCACCCTCCCTGCCTTCGTCACTGCCAATTTTGCGATAGAGACCCCCAACGCGCTATTGCTCAGTCTAGCAGTATTGCGCCGGTCCCTATCTTTGAGGGCTGTTCTCCCTCTCTGTGCTCTTACTCGGACGTCTCTACTTCTGTTGCTGAGACGCCGCTGTGGCCTCAGCGCAGTCACGTCCGGGTAAGGGCCGCCGGTCCAAAGGGGGGCGTGGTGGATGGAAGGGGGGTGCGGGTGGGGAGCGTGGAGGAGGTGGGGGCGGGGACGGTGGTTCGAAAGAGGGGACCGGGGCTGGCGCCCTGGAGCAGCAGCAGCAGCAGACGCAGCCTCAGCCACAGCAGCAGCAGACGCAGCCTCAGCCGCAGCAGCAGCAGACTCAGCAGTAGCACTAGTAGCCACAGCAGTAGTCGTCGCAGCAGCAGCAGTCGCCGTGGGGACCCCCACCGCTGTGGTGGACTGGCTGCGCTAGTGGCGGTTGTCGTGGTAGTGGCAGGCGCAGCTCGATGTCGGGTGGCGGCTCTCGTGCGGTCACCTGCCAGTACCAGCTTCAGATCGGCCCCCACCGTGGCACCGTTTGCTCCAGTCTGGCCAGACCGCCGACCGCTTCTACCGCCACCTAGACGACCTTTTCCGCCACCGCTTCGGTCCCACGTCGAACCCTCTTGACTGGTATGCCTTGGCTCACCGCCGTGTGCCTGTCTTTGAGCTTGACATGGATCAGATTAGGAATTCTATGTTTGACATGTATGCTGATGAATCTAGTCTGATTGGACCCTATTACTCGGTGTTGCATGGCGTAGGTGTGTTGTGAGAGTACGACCCCGTTACACCAATCTTCCCTTTCCATATTTCCTTTCTATTTCATTTCTCATTTTATCCTGATTCATTTGGTTTCCTATTTCTCACTTTCCATTATCCTTTGGTTTATCCTGTTATTATAAGTATATGTTATAATCACAATAGGCTCAGATGTGCCTAAAATGAGAGAAATTCAGGACAGTCAGAATTCGGTCAGACAGCTTCAAAACTTGGTGGCGATCTGATCTGTGCCTCAAACGGTGATCTGTAAATTGAATCTGGAGCGCGTTGCTGTCGCCTATCAGCAGCAAGTTGAATCATGAAATTCCATGAAGATTTGACGACACTATGGCGGTTTTACTGGTAGGAGGTACAGCAGCCACTATAGTCTTAGGAGTACAAACTTAGCAAGAAGAGTTCGAGAGGGAGATGGTTCCCAGCCTCTACATACCCCAAGAGCCGAGGTCCAGGTTGGTGGTACACCACCACAGAGTCCCCAACCATGAAGAGTCTCGAAACCAACCCTCCAAGGGGCTACCCCAAGTGAAATGTAACACTACACGAAGTAACGTTACTATTTTCACTATTTAATATTTATCCGCGTCCCTTGGGCTTGAAATCTTGAGCTCTTGTTCTTGGATGTGCAAGATAAATTCTTCTTGAGTTGATGGGGGCTTGCTGCACACACCTGCGGCACGATGGACACTTCACACTCGACAAAATAGAAAAAACACATGCGACACACAAACGACGACTTGACATGCGAGTTGTAAAAACTCGCTAATGTCTTGACGGACACAAGCCACACTGTGATACACCATTCAAACATTCACACAAGCACTAGATAGCACTGACATAGTCTCACAATTCATTCCATGCCATGCATGCACACACACAAACAAGGACGACAAGCCGAGTGCAAGCCATAGGATTGCACCAACAAACTCCCCCTCGGATTGTTGGCCTTAGAATCTGCTCCCCTTAGTTCAGAGCCATCCCAGCAAGCTTGCAACACTTCCAATGCTGCTGCTCAACCAGCCTCTTGGTCATCATATCAGCTGGCTGTGCCGTCGTCTTCACGTAGTGCAACTCCACTTCACCCGCGGTTACCATGCTCCTCACCCAATGCCACTTCACCTTCATGTGCTTGGTAAGGCCATGAAGAACGGGGTTCTTAGCCAATGCAATAGCACCTTGGCTGTCACAGTAGAGTGGGGTAGGTCCTTGCTGCTCCTCCCCCAATTCAGCTAGCAAACGCCGCTACCACACAACCTCTCTTATGGCACGGAAGAGTGCCATGTACTCGGACTCCACCGAGCTCAATGCTTGGTCCACTTGTTTCTTGCTCTCCCAAGCTGTTGGCCCTCCACCAACACAGCAGATGAAGCCTCCCACACTTGTCATGTCCTCTGGTTCTGATGCCCAAGATGCATCAGAGAAGGCGGTGAGAAAGAGCCTCCCGGGTTCGACTCCATCCGCACCCTTTTGACGCATTTGTGCCGCCGCGGAGTATTGCAGTCCAACAGTTGCTGTTTGGCCAAGGTACTTGGCCACCCTCTCTCCAGCTGCTACCTGCTCCTCATTAGGGCATTGGACAACCCTAGCCAGCTGCCCGGTAGCAAAGGCTGCATCCGGCCTTGTGTGAACGGCCGCATACATGAGGCTGCCCACCAAGGAGTGAAAACGGCGCCTCTCCTCTTCACCAACACTTTCCTCCGCTGGTCCTTTCACACACTTGAACCCTGAGGGAAGAGGAGTAGCCACATGACCTTCACTCTTCCCAAAGTTTGCAGCCAAGGCCTCCAAGTACTTCTTTTGATGCACTCGCATCCACCGCTTCTCCACATCTCGCTCAATGTGAAGCCCAAGGTAGTAGTTGACGTCACCAAGGGTCTTGCACTTGAACTTGTCTTGAAGCTTCAGCATCACCTCCTTCACAAGGTCAGAGGAGGGTGAGAATATGAGGATGTCATCCACATAAACCACCATGAAGCTCCTCTGCTCCCCCTCGCCAAGCATGAACAAGGATTGATCGGCCGTTGAGGGAGTGAAGCCGATCGCCTCCAAGACTTCCCGCAGCTTGATGTACCATTGCCTAGGGGCTTGCTTGAGGCCATAGAGTGCTTTCTTCAGCTTCCACACTCTGCCACTCCCATCATTGTACCCCTCTGGCTGCTCCATGAAGGTCTCTTCCTCCAAAAAGCCGTTGAGGAAGGCCGTTACTATATCCATTTGCTTCACCACCCATCCTTTGATGGCCGCCGCGGCAAAGAGGGTTCGAAGGGCTGTACCCTTCACCACAGGGGCATACACTTCATTGTAGTCCTTCTTCTCTTGCTGCTGATACCCCTTGGCTACAAGTCTGCTCTTGTAGCGCTCGATGTTGCCGTCGGCGTCGGTCTTGCGCTTGAAGAGCCACTTGGAAGAGATCGCCTTCCGCCCCGGAGGTAGGTTCACCAAGTCAAACGTGTTGTTCTCGATGATGCTCCCCATTTCTTCATCTGAGGCCTTCTTCCACTCCTTCCCATTGGGGCCCTCCCAAGCCTCCTTGGAATTTGTAGGCTCCCCCGGTATCTCCACCGGAGAGAAGAAGGCAAAAGCGCACTCCTCGCTTTCATCTTCCGCATCATCGCCTAGCATGAGAGCCGAACCGGTCAAGGTTGAGTTGCTGGTCCTCCAAGCCGTTCATAGCTCAACCTATTGGGGGGCTGAGTCCTCCTTCTCCTCCTTCCTTCCTCCTCTGCTGCAGGGACTTGAATGCTCTCATGGCTTTGCGGTAAGTCCGGTCGGTTCCCGCGAGCACTTGTAGCACGAGGCGGAAGTGGCGGTGCACGCTCATTACCTTGCTCCACCTCCTCCTCCTCCTCATCCCCATTCATTTGGGGAGATTGCCTCGTGATTGTGCTGCTGCTACTCAGCTCCAAGGGCAGCTCCACATGCTCCAAGCCGGTCCTCTTCACCTCTCCAAGCCGCACACCAATCTTCGCTTGGTTCTCCGCCTTCCACTCCTTGTACGGTAAGTTCTCCATGAACTTGCAATCTCTGCTCACCAGGAACTTCTTGGTAAATGGGTCCCATAGAAGCCATCCCTTGCTGTTTTGGGCCATGCCCAGGTGCACGGCCCATGTTGCCTTGGCATCAAGCTTGTTGTGCCGAAGTTTCTTAGGCACAAGTGCCATGCACATGCACCCGAACACCCGAAGCATATCCACCTTCGGCTTCATTCCAATCCACTCCACATAGGGCACCCATTTGTCTTCTCCCACATGAGTCAAGGCTCTGTTCTTGGCCACACAAGCATGCCACACCGCATCCGGCCAAAAGTAATTGGGTAGACCGGCTTCAATGAGAAGTCCCCGAGCCGTCTCCGTGAGTGTCCGATTCGCACGCTCGGCGATGCCGTTCATTGCAGGAGAGTAGGGCATGGTAAGAGAGTGCCTTATGCCCTGCTTCTTCAGCCAAGTTGAGAAATCCTTGCTCAGGAACTCTCCCCCACGGTCAGTGCGAATCGCCTTCACAAGTCAATCTTGTTGCCGCTCCACCATCGGCAACCAATCGGTCTTCACCGTTTCAGCTACGTCACTCTTCTTGGGCAGCACATACACCAAAGTCATGCGAGTGTAGACGTCCACAATGGTGAGGAAGTACTCAGCTCCAGCAGCTCCAAGCTTCAAGGGGCCCACCACATCCATCACCACCTCATCAAGTGGTGCCTTCGCCGTTGTCTCCGAGCTATGGAACGGGTAGCGGGTGAACTTGGCTTGCATGCATGTTGGACAGCCAAGCACCTCATTGGGCTCCCCCTTGACACGTATCCCACTGACCATCTCTTGCTTAACTATCTGCTGCAAAATGGGCAATGCCACATGCCCCATTCGCCGATGCAAGGTCAGCCAATCACACTCTCCCGTAGCGGAAGTCGGGTTGGAGAAAGCGGCACTCGCAATCGTGCCCCACAAGCTCTCTCCTTTCTCCTTTGCCACTGCTGCTTTGCTGATCTTAGGATTCTCCTCCTCATTTCCACCACCTTTGGCTGCTGCACCACTCTCCTTGGGTTCACACGCCTTGCTGGTCTCTCCAAGATTGCACTCCTTCGAGTCACTCTTGGTGTCACTTTTTTTTCCGTGATCACCGCCACCAACCGCTTCACTCTTGGTGCTGACGCTTGCTGCCACTTGCCTCCCTTTAGGCATGGGGACCACTGGGATTTGCCACATCTCATTGTAGATGTCCCTGTCCTCATGAAGGTCCCAAAGCTTCCGCTCACCAAGCCTCGCGGTATATGTTTCGGAGCCCTTGGAAGATGTGTCCATGCCGGCCTTTTGCAAACGCCGAACAGAGATCAGGTTGGCTGCAAGGTGGGGCACCCAAAGCACGTTCTTGAGGCCCACCATCTTCCCATCAGCACCCTTGAACATGGCCTTGCCCATGCCTTTCACCTCTGCTCGCTGCCCCAAAGCCGATGTAACATGCTTGACCGGCGACGGTTCGAGTTCGGTGAGCAAGTCCGCACGAGGTGTCATGCTGTAGGTGGCGCCGCTATCGATCACCCAAAAGTCCAGAGAGTGAAGGGTGACATTTCCCACAGTTGCTGGCTCCTCAAAGCCTTCCACACCTCCTGCTGCAGCTGCCGCTTGTGTGGAGACAAAGAAGAATTGGCCCGGGTATCGATCTTCACTCGAGTCCTTGTCGTAGTCTCCACCTTTCATGCTTGCCGCTTCGCCTCCACGGCCACCACGGCCTCCACGACCTCTGCCTCTTCCTCCCCTTGCTCCTCTTCCCTCTTGGCCTTGAGAAGGGGTCCATCCATCAGGCAATCTGAAGCAATCTCTCCACATGTGGCCGGTCTTGTGGCAAAAGTGGCATTCGCCATCAAATCGACCGCGCCCACGCCCGTAGCCATTGTCGTTGTTGCTGCCATATCCTCCATTACCACGGCCTCCATTGAAGTTACTGCTGCCAAATCTTCCTCCTCGCCCTCTGCCCCTTCCACGGCCATGCCCACGGCCCATGCTTGCAACTCCGGCACCATCGGGACCCGCCAATTCGCGACGGCGGAAATCTTCTTGTAAGATTTCCCGCTTCACATCTTCGAGTGAGAGACGGGGCAGATCTCGATTAAGGTTGATGATGAGCGAGGACCATGAGTCCGGAAGTAAGGCTAGCAGCTTGGTCTTCTTTTGAAGGTCACTGTAGTTCAGGTCAGCTCCTTCGAGCCGTGTCAATAAGTCGAAGAATTTCTGCACTCCTTCCTCCACCGGTTCGCCTTCGTCAATTCGAAGTGCCGCCATTTGCCGCTCCAAAACCACAGCCACCGCCGCTGTTGCAGGAGCGTGTACACCCTTGAGAGCAGCCCATGCCTTTGGTCCCTTTGCTGGTTCACGCTGAAAAGGCTTGATGTGACGGATTTGGCTGCTCCCCAACGCTTGCCCAAGTAGAAGGTAGCCTTGTGCGCTCTTCCGCACGCACGGGCTCTTCTCCGGGTCGTTCTCGGGGCGCTTCTCCGTTCCTTCCATCACCTCCAGCAGATCATAATGGTCAAAGATGTTCTCCATCTTGAAGGACCACTCAGCAAAGTTGTCACCGTTGAACTTGTCAAGGCCAAACACTCTAGGCTCATCCCTAGAGGGTCCAAGGCTAGGTTGCACCGGAGCAACGGGTGGATCTTGGTGTTGACCTTGTGCTTGGGCGTCTTCTCTGCCTCCAACACCTCTGCCACCCCCTTCCTCAGGCCTAGGCATGGTCGAGACGGCTCCAAGGGGCTCTGATACCACTTGTTATAATCACAATAGGCTCAGATGTGCCTAAAATGAGAGAAATTCAGGACAGTCAGAATTCGGTCAGACAGCTTCAAAACTTGGTGGCGATCTGATCTGTGCCTCAAACGGTGATCTGTAAATTGAATCTGGAGCGCGTTGCTGTCGCCTATCAGCAGCAAGTTGAATCATGAAATTCCATGAAGATTTGACGACACTATGGCGGTTTTACTGGTAGGAGGTACAGCAGCCACTATAGTCTTAGGAGTACAAACTTAGCAAGAAGAGTTCGAGAGGGAGATGGTTCCCAGCCTCTACATACCCCAAGAGCCGAGGTCCAGGTTGGTGGTACACCACCACAGAGTCCCCAACCATGAAGAGTCTCGAAACCAACCCTCCAAGGGGCTACCCCAAGTGAAATGTAACACTACACGAAGTAACGTTACTATTTTCACTATTTAATATTTATCCGCGTCCCTTGGGCTTGAAATCTTGAGCTCTTGTTCTTGGATGTGCAAGATAAATTCTTCTTGAGTTGATGGGGGCTTGCTGCACACACCTGCGACACGATGGACACTTCACACTCGACAAAATAGAAAAAACACATGCGACACACAAACGACGACTTGACATGCGAGTTGTAAAAACTCGCTAATGTCTTGACGGACACAAGCCACACTGTGATACACCATTCAAACATTCACACAAGCACTAGATAGCACTGACATAGACTCACAATTCATTCCATGCCATGCATGCACACACACAAACAAGGACGACAAGCCGAGTGCAAGCCATAGGATTGCACCAACAGTATATCCCTGACAGGGCTTGGGATGTACTGGCACGCTATATCTAGCGTAATCCTGCCGTAATCCCTTAAAGCCAATAGCCTCGCGTGGCTATACGCGTGGTGATTCTATTCCTAGAAGGGGACCGAAAACCGTCTGCGTCTGAAGCCCAAAAAAGAAAAAAAAAAAACGGGCTCTCTTACAGGTCTGCACATCCCCTCGTTCTGTAGGAACTTAGTTGGTGTCGGCTGTCTTCAGGACCTTGGCGGCACCACTACGTTCCTCGGACACAAGCGTTACACGGTTTGTACCGAGGCCGCCACTAGTGCCCCCTTGACCACGTTCCCCCGAGATCATGTGTCCATCCTATTTACGCTTGACACTGCGCCCCCCTCGGTGAAGGCACCCCCCCGGGTGCCTGCGGCGACCTATGTCGCTGGGGCTTGCTTGTCTCGGTCGCTCATGCACCCGTTGCAGCTATGGCACCACCGCCTAGGTCTCCTCGCACTCCCGCGTCTGCATCACATGTCCCATCACGTTCTTGTAGCAGGTTTCCCTGCGTCGCTCCCTGCCCTCCCCCCCTCGCCTGCGCTGCCGTGTACACCTTCTATCAAAACCGTCTGCGCCGTTCTCCTCACTCCTTCTCGTTTCCCCCTACCACTGCGCCACTCCAGACCCTGCACTTGGACGTTCGGGGCCCAGCCCCCGTCCATGGGTCGCGTCGAGAGCGCCACTTTCTAGTGCTTGTCGGCGACTACACGCGCTACACCACGGTGTTTCCCCTGGCGCGGAAGGCCGATGTGCCTAGCGTTCCTATCCCGTGGGTCATAGCTGCGCACGTCCACCGTGGCCTACCAGTGCTTTGTCTCCACTCCGACCGTGGCGGCAAGTTTGCCTCCGGTCAACTTGGCCGTTTCTGTCGTGCAGAGGGCATCACCTAGTCGTACACCCTGCCGGACTCCCCGCATCAGAATGGGGTCACTGAGTGATGCATCGGTTTGGTCATGGAGGTGGCTTGTACCTCCATGATCCATGCCGGTGCTATGAGAAAAGGTGAAAAAGTAGTTAATTGTATTATCAAAGGAGCGGGTATACATAGGTGAGGAGTAGGAGGGGGGGGTTTGGTTGGGAGGTGACCACGATTATTGGTCAATCCAATAAGTTGGGTTGGCCAACTTATTGGGGGTCCAATAATCCTAGCCAAGATTATTGGTGGGTCCAATAATCTTGGTTGGGATTATTTGGGGGTTCCAATAATTGGGAGCCCAACCAATTTGGGAACCCAACCCCCAACTTGGGTGTATACACCTTAGTGGGGTGCGTATAAGTACCTACGACACTGCAACGATGTAGGCTAATAGAATGAAGGTAGAATATTCTAACACAACCCTTTAGCCTACAGAGTGCCATAAGTCTTGGGTAGGTGGGGAGAAGCAACCCCTGATTCATGTAGTCCCCCGTGAGGATGGGCGACGGGTGGTGCTGGCGTCGGAGGAGGACGCGGGCGGCGGGTGGTGCTGCCGCCGGAGGAGGACGCGGGCGACGCGTGGTGCTGCTGCCGGGAGAGGACGGGCGGCGCGTGGTGCTGCCGCCGGAGGAGGGCGCGGGCGGCGCGTGCAGCTGCCGCAGGAAGAGGGCGCCGGGGCCGCGTGCTGCTGCCGCCGGAGGAGGGCGCGGGCGGCGCGTGGCGCTGCCGCCGGAGGAGGGCATGGGCAGCGCGTGGCGCTGCCGCCAAAAGGGCGCGGGCGGCGCGTGGTGCTGCCGCCGGAGGAGGACGTGCTGCTGCTGCTGCGGGCGGAGCGTACGGCTGCCGCCGGAGGAGGAGGTGCTGCTGCTGCGGGCGGCTCATGCTGCTGCTGCGGGTGGCTCATGCTGCTGCCGCCTGAGGAGGAGGTGCTGCTGCTGCTGCTGCTGCTGATGCGGGCGGCGCGTACGGCTGACGCCGGAGGAGGAGGTGCTACTGCTACTGGTACGGGCGGCGCGTGCTGCTGCCGTCGGAGGAGGAGAGGTGCTGCTGCTGTTGCTGGTGGCGTGTGCTGCTGCTGCGGAGGAGGAGATGCTGTCGCTGCTGAGAGCGTCGCATGCTGCTGCCGCCGGAGGAGGAGGTGCTGGTGCTGCTGCTGTGGGCGGCAAGTGCGGCTGCCGCTGTAGGAGGTGCTGCTGCTGCTGCAGGCGGCGCATGCTGCTGCCGCCGGAGGAGGAGGTGTTGCTGCTGATGCTACGGGCAGCGCGTGCTGCTGCCGCTGGAGGAGGAGAGGTGCTGCTGCCGTTGCGGGCGGCGCGTGCTGTTGCCGCCGGAGGAGGAGATGCTGGTTCTGCTGCGAGCGGCACGTATGGCTGTCGCAGGAGGAGGTGCTACTGCTGCTGCGGGTGGCGCGTGCGGCTGCCGCCGGAGGAGGAGTTGGTGCTGCTGCTGCTACGGGTGGCGCGTGCTGCTGCCGCCGGAGGAGGAGATCCTTCCGCTGCTGCGGGCGGCGCGTGCTGCTGCTGCCGGAGGAGGAGGTGCTGGTGGTGCTGCTGCGGGCGGCACGTGGGGCTGCCGCCGGAGGAGGTGCTGCTGCTGCTGCTGCTGCTGCGGGCGGCGCGTGCAGCTGCCGCCGGAGGAGGAGGTGCTGCTGCTGCTTCTGCTGGCGGAGCATACGGCTGCCGCCAGAGGAAGAGGTACAGCTGCTACGGGCGGCGCGTGCTGCTGCCGCCGGAGGAGGAGCTGCTGCAGGGGGAAGGGAGGTGTGAGGGGTGGCTGGAGGGCCCCAAGGAAGAGGAAGAGAGGTGAGAGGGGGGCGGGAGGAGCGGAGAGGGGGGGTTAAGGAGCCGCTGAGGGGAGGGGAGGGGGGGGGATCAGGCGGAGGGCGGGTTAAGGAGCCGCTGAGGGGAGGTGAGAGGAGGAGGACGAGCAGAAAGCGGGTTAAGGAGCAGCTGAGGGAAAGGGAGGGGAGAGGGTGAGGACGGGTGGAAGGCCTGTTCAAGAGCTGCTGAGGGGAGGGGAGAGGGAGAGGATGGGCGGAAGGTGTGCTGGGAGTCACCGAGGGGAGAAGAGAGGGGGAGGACGGGCGGAAGGCGTGCTGGGAGTTGCTGAGGGGAGAAGAGAGGGGGAGGACGGGCGGAAAGCGACCTCAAGTGCCACTGAGGGGAGGGAAGAGGGGGAGGACAGGCGGAATGCGGTTTAAAGAGCCACTGAAGGGAGGGGAGAGGGGGAGGACGGGCGGGAGGGGGGCGAGGAGTTGTTGAGGGGAGGGGAGAGGGGGAGGACGGGCGGAAGGCGGGCTGGGAGCCGTTGAGGGGAGGGGAGAGGGGGAGGATGGGCGGGAGGCGGTCTGAAGAGCCACAGAGGGGAGGAGAGAGGGGGAGGACGGACGGAAGGCGGACTGTGTGCCGTTGAGGGGAGGGGAGAGGGGGAGGACGGGCGGGAGGCGGTCTGAAGCGCCACGGAGGGGAGGGGAGAGGGGGAGGACGAGCGGGAGGGGGACTAGGAGTTGTTGAGGGGAGGGGAGAGGGAGAGGATGGGCGGGAGGGGGGCTAGGAGTTGTTGAGGGGAGGGAAGAGGGGGAGGACGAGCGGAAGGTGGTCTAAAGAGCCACTGAGGGGAGGGGAGAGGGGGAGGACGAGTGGGAGGGGGGCTAGGAGCCGTTGAGGGGAGGGGAGAGGGAGAGGACGGGCGGAAGGCGGTCTGAAGAGCCACGGAGGGGAGGGGAGAGGGGGAGGATGGGCAGGAGGGGGGCTAGGAGTTGTTGAGGGGAGGGGAGAGGGGGAGGACGGGCGGAAGGCGGGCTGGGAGCCGTTGAGGGGAGGGGAGAGGGGGAGGACGGGTGGGAGGCGGTCTGAAGAGCCACGGAGGGGAGGAGAGAAGGGGAGGACGGACGGAAGGCGGGCTATGTGCCGTTGAGGGGAGGGGAGAGGAGGAGGACGGGCAGGAGGCGGTCTGAAGAGCCATGGAGGGGAGGGGAGAGGGGGAGGACGGGCGGGAGGGGGGCTAGGAGTTGTTGAGGGGAGGGGAGAGGGGGAGGACGGGCGGAAGGCGGGCTGGGAGCCGTTGAGGGGAGGGGGGAGGGGGAGGACGGGCGGGAGGCGGTCTGAAGCGCCACGGAGGGGAGGGGAGAGGGGGAGGACGGGCGGGAGGGGGGCTAGGAGTTGTTGAGGGGAGGGGAGAGGGAGAGGATGGGCGGAAGGCGGACTGGAAGCCATTGAGGGGAGGGGAGAGGGGGAGGACGGGCGGGAGGGGGCTAGGAGTTGTTGAGGGGAAGGAGAGGGAGAGGACGGGCGGAAGGCGGGCTGGAAGCCATTGAGGGGAGGGGAGAGGGGGAGGACGGGCGGGAGGGGGGCTAGGAGTTGTTGAGGGGAGGGGAGAGGGGGAGGACGGGAGGAAGGAGGAAGTCGCGGGGGCGACACGGATGGTGACATGTGGGCGTCGCGGACGCCGCGATCGCGCAAGGGATGCGCCGCGCGGACGCCGCCGACGCCGCGACGAGGACGTCGCGGACGCTGCGACAAGGCCGCCACAGACAGCGCGACGAGGCTGCCGCGGACGACATGACAAGGCCGCCAAGAACGGCGCGTCGAGGGCGCCGCGGGAAGCGCGGAAGGGCGCCGTGGGGACGCACAAAGAACAGCGGCCGAGCCCCGGCGTGTTAGGCGGGGGCGACGGGACTGCGGGAGGGGGAGGAGGCGAAATGCGGCGAAGTGTTGCGACAAAATGCGGCGACGAAATGCGGCCAGCCAAATGCGGCGAAATGAGGCCGACAAAATGCGGCGACGAAATGCGGCCAGCGAA